GGAGAGGAGTGAGAGCTCAAGGGCACTGCAGTGTGTTCAGATTCACCCTGATAAAAAAAGGAGGGAGAAAAAAAAGAGAGTTATTCATAGAGATTGAGGAAAAGGGGGGGGGAGGAAAGGAGGAGGAAAGACACTGGAATGGAGGAGGTATTGATTTGGTTAGAGAGAGGATGGGGAAGATTAATGAAAATCAGTCGAAAGGAGAAGGCAAGCGAGGAGAGATGGCAATCATAAGGATTTGGATTTAGAGTCCACGTAACAATTCTGCTTTCTTAAAGCCCCCCTGTTGTCAATAACTGTATCCATTAAAACTCATCTTTGATCACCAAAATTACATATTTAGTTTTTTCTTCATGCCCTAAAATAGATTGAATGTATCTCTACACCCTTGCCTCATTTAGTAAATGCGGTTCTATGAATATGCAAATTAGCCCCGCCTCCACTCACTCACACCAGCTCAGAGATCCACTCGTTGACGATCACACGCCGACATGATCGGTTACAAAGTACTTTGTGACGTCAGAAACACCAGCGATGTCAAACCCCTTTTTTTTTACAGTCTATATGGTCAAACCGCATTTTTGAGACTGTCTTCGGTTCACTGCAGTTTTAAAAAGAAAATACTCAGCAATGGTGTTGATTTATCAATTTGCACATGGTTTGTCTTAAAGCATATTTAAAACACCATAGACATAAACAACATTAAGAGCTTGATTTTCACCACAGGATACTTTAAAGGAACAGTTCACATTAACGTTAAAAAGGTAATTAAGTAATATACAGTGGCATCTCCTACTTTTCTTAGTGATATTTAGTGCCAGTTTATCAGGAAGTGACGATTTTGTTCTCTTTGACTCACTGGATGGAAACGGTGCTTTATTCGCAAATGTTCTATGCAATATTCCAATTTTGTGCGCACGTGAAATTCACAACTTTAGATGGAAACATAGTATGTGTTGTCGCCTTGCATCAGCTGCGTCTGGGCCAAAAAGCTGCACTTGAACACGCAAAGACTACAGCTGACTGCCAACTAGCATGTGTGTTCTGTGCCTGCGTGTAAGGAAATGACTGCATATATCAGCAGGTATCAATAGTCTATTTTTGTCATTCAAAAAAGAAAACCAAATCTAGGACTACATATATACAAGCCGTAAACAAATAAGCGCTTGCTTACCATTTTGAATCATGCTGATCACTTTCTTCATCCCAGCCGGCTTATGAAAATATCGGAATGCTCAGGTAAGATGACGTCAAATTAGAACCAGCCTTCTGACTGCGCCATCATGACTACTTTGCTCGCTTTCATCACTTTCGCTTTTATTCTCATGCACTGGCTGACGCCGATTCAACACGCTGAATCTGGCGAACTCCCGCCGACATGAGGCCGACTAGAGGCAACCAAACCTGTATGAGTTTTTGTGTGTGTGTGTGTGTGTGTGTGTGTGTGTGTGTGGAACATAAAAATAAGATATTTTGAAGAATGTTGGTAACCAAACAGTTTTTGGTCCCCATTGACTTCTTACTATGGAAGTCAATGGGGACCAGCAACTGTTTGGTTACCAACATTCTTCAAATGATCTTCTTTTATGTTCCACACAAGAAACAAACTCATGCAGGTTTGGAACCACATGAAGGTGAGTAAATGATGGCAAAATGTAGATTTTTTGGGTGAACTATGCCTTTAAACCCAGCCCTGTATTTGAAGAAGTCAGCCATTTTCCTGCACATATCTTCCCTCGTGAACGACTCTTCAGGGACGGGCGGTCTGGTGCGTTTAATGCTGGTTAGTTACCCGAGTGTGCACTAAGAACCCCATTCTCCACCCTTGATGAGCCACTGTGCGTGTTTGGCTTGTAGAAGAGCACATAAAGCAGTGAATAATACCTGTTCGGGATAATGACTGCTCTTCAATGTGTTCTGCCTGGTATTTTGCTCTACATTTTGGTCATTGAGATATAAAAAAAGTTATTTTGTGTCTGTGTGTGCGTTCCAGTTAATTATTTCAAAAAGAGTTGCTGCTATTGAGGGTTGTGTGTTGTATTTATTCTGTTTTTTACATTCCAGAAGAGATTCCAGAAAACAACATCCTTGAATATTTATATAATCATTTTTATGTGGTTAAAAGCATTTCTTTGTTATATGATCACATGTAAATGTTTGTCAGCATTACAATCATTGAAGAGCTGTATCAAGGAATCTGAAAGTTTGTGTATTTTAGTATCATAGTATTTATTAATATTTTGAATTGGTTTTTATTTTATATTTTCCATTGGCATTGTGATTTTAGTTTTAGTATTTTTTTATTAGTTTTTATTAGTCTTTGTTTTCTATGTCTATCAGTTTTTGGGGAAAAAATCAGTTTTAGTATATTTTTTATTTATTTCAGGTTTTTTTATTAAAATTGTATTAATGTTATTTTTTCGAGTTTTAGTTAACAATAATATGCATTTTCCTAGGTATGATCTACTATGTTATGAAACTGACTAGATATTATTCTTTATGAGTAAAAATTAGCCAGCTTGATCACAACAACATGCCCATTAAAATACATTTAATAATGTGTGTGTGTGTGTGTATATATATATATATATATATTAGTTTGATTCATACTTTAAATACAATTGGAAGTCTCCATAAAATGATTTGAAAAAATCCTTATAAATGCAAAAAGGTCGTGCAAATTAATTGGTGAAAAATTGTAGCATGCCTGATTCGTGCCTCTATGGCACAAGAATCATAGAAGATGTGTTGTCTAGTCTTTAATTTTCCATTGGTCAGTGTGATGATATTTGATAAGAAAAAGAATCAGTGAATCCAGAGGCAGTCAATTATATCACGTCTGAACATGGTCTACAATTTTACTAGATTTCCCCGTTACATCTGTGTGGCAGTTTGATATCCTTCATTATGCCATCAATCAGACCGTCCTACTGAGGAAGATATTAGTGCAGAGAGAGAGAGAGAGAGAGAGGTGGTTGTGTACTGGTGTGAGGGGCACCTTCATCCACGAACAGCTCAAGGTGATCCTGTCACAGCCTGATTAATGACTCACAGTCTGCAGAACACAAGCATCTCAGAGCCGCCTCTGCACATGTGCATGTTCTTTTTTATGTGCAAAGTACAGCCAAACCTGCTTTACATCACTTTCAATTGTCCATTTAATTAACCTGAGGTGAGGGCAAGCATGGATGCATAATACCTTCACTAGAGGGCACTATTGGATTATTTAATGAAGTCACGTATAGGGTTAAAAAAAACCTGCATGCATGATTGTGACCTGGATGCACTTCGTAATTGCATTACATGTCAATAAAGAAATTACAAGCATCTAAAATCCACCATATGTGAACGTGCAGCAAATTTGCCATTTTAGCTGTTCATTGATATTTTGTCGCTCTTTACACTTTATCTCTTAGCGGTAAACACTCTAGGATATAAATTAGTGAGATATGTTTGCTTGCCAGGAGGATGTTGACTTCATATGTTAAAATTGTCAATATGGCAGTTAATTAGGAAGCAAACAATGCATTTACTATGCATGCATATCACTTTGATTCTGTGTGCTTTCAGGCGCATCCAAGAAAAGTATAGAAGTATTTCGATTCTTTTTGATGTATTTGTTTTTTGTCATCATGCAACTGACTGACCAGATACAATTTTATTTAGGTAAGAAGATGCAAAGTGCTACTACAACATGTGAAATGCTAAAATGTTAGGCATTAATGGCAGTGGTTTTTTATGCATATTTCTTCTTTATTTTTTTCAAAGAGATCTCTACATTGCTCAGTTAACTTTTAGTTCAGTTAAACCATTATTGGTGATGTAGAATTAAAATACTCATTGTTATTAACCTATTTTATCTTTTGGTCTAAATATCACCGGTTTTGTTCTTGTTGGAGTAAAATTATTTGTACAAGATCGTTATACTGTAATCACATGAGAAAAGTAAATGTAATTTCATTGGCGAAAAATTTTAGCATCTTCTGGTCTCCATTGCACATGAATCATGTTTAATATGTTGACATGGTATTCTTTAATTTTCCATAAATGTTAATTTTCCATAAATGTCATCACATATTACTTTTTTTTGGCGATTTTTGCCTTGATAGGATAGTATAGGGTGGACAGGAAGCGAGGTGGGAGAGAGAGGGGGACTGGATCAGAAAAGGTCTGCGAGCAGGGACTCGAACTCAGGTCGTCCGAAGCGCAACGGCGCCGCGCTGCCCACGAGGCTATTGCTGCCGACTTAATTACATTTAAAGGGATAGTGCACCCAAAAATTAAAAAGTGGAACATAAAAGATATTTTGAGCAATTTCATAAAAAAAGTCAATGGACTCAAAATATCTTCTTTCGTTTTCTGCAAAAGAAAAACATCAATACTAGTTTGGAGGGTGAGTAAATTATGGTGAACTATCCCTTTAAGCACATTTATACAAAGCAAACATTTCTACTTAAGTATTGAAAATGACCAATGTGCTTGTCCTTAATATAGAATGTGAAATGGAGATGATATTCCTCGTTTTTTCTGCACACTAACCCTTTTAAAGTGTGTGGGAATGAAAGAAGCATCTAATTAAAGGAAGTGTTAATAAGTGGGCTTGACTGCATTTTAACTCACATCTACATGCACACGAGAACACTGCCGCTCCAAGCCAGCGCTGTTTGTCCCTGACGCACCGTTATTCACCCCCATACTGATCTGTCCATCAGTGTGTGAAGGTGTGTGATTTGATTTCTGCTGCTTGTCAGTGTCTCTCTCTCTCTCTCTCTCTCTCTCCCTCTCTCTCTCTCTCTCTCTCTCTCTCTCTCTCTCTCTCTCTCTCTCTCTCTCTCTCTCTCTCTCTCTCTCTCTCTCTCTCTCTCAGGCCGCTGCTTTGCTTGCTTTGTGTTGCTTTGCTGTGTTTTGCTTTGCTCTGCTGTGCTTGTGCTTGATGGTTTGCCTTTTAATCATATCCTGCTCTCGTTTTTGTTTGTTTCCTTCTTTTTTGTCATTTCCAGATTTGCATATCCATTCTTCCTACCTCCTTCATTTGCCTTTCCTTCACTGAGAATGGCAAGCGGGCATTCCACTGACAAATTCAGTTTTCTGTACCCAACAGACACCAGTCAGAACGTTAAGAGGTCAGTCTAGTGCTCAGCACCTTCCACTGTGTGTGTGTATGTGTGTGTGTTTGGGTCGAAGTTGATGTACTGTTCACCTTAATGTATGTACGTTTCCAGCTGTTCTGACCTACATACTGGCCAGGCTATGTCATGTTTCTCTCCTCTAGGGTTTGTTTGACCTTGATTTGTTTAGTCTCAGAGCAGCACAGGTTTCACCTGCTCATTTCTATTTTTGTACCTCTGATGAAGCTTATTAAAGGGGTCATCGAATGCAAAATTCACTTTTATTTGGTGTTTGCATATAAATGTGTATTTGCAGTGTGTGGACACAACCACCATATAATGAAAAAAATCCATTCACTTCTTTAATTTTTTATCCTCAAAAAGCCTAAACACTCTCAATAATCAAGCCGCTTGGATTTTCTGAGCAATATGACATCATATTGCTCATGCTCCGCCCACGACCACTGATGGACTGTCCCGTATTAACATACACTCACCGGCCACTTTATTAGGTACCCCATGCTAGTAACGGGTTGGACCCCCTTTTGCCTTCAGAACTGCCTCAATTCTTCGTGGCATAGATTCAACAAGGTGCTGGAAGCATTCCTCAGGGAGTTTGGTCCATATTGACATGATGGCATCACACAGTTGCCGCAGATTTGTCGGCTGCACATCCATGATGCGAATCTCCCGTTCCACCACATCCCAAAGATGCTCTATTGGGTTGAGATCTGGTGACTGTGGAGGCCATTTTAGTACAGTGAACTCATTGTCATGTTCAAGAAACCAATTTGAAATGATTAGAGCTTTGTGACATGGTGGAAGTAGCCATCAGAGGATGGGTACATGGTGGCCATAAAGGGATGGACATGGTCAGAAACAATGCTCAGGTAGGCCGTGGAATTTAAACGATGCCCAATTGGCACTAAGGGGCCTAAAGTGTGCCAGGAAAACATCCCCCACACCATTACACCACCACCACCAGCCTGCACAGTGGTAACAAGGCATGATGGTTCCATGTTCTCATTCTGTTTACGCCAAATTCTGACTCTAACATCTGAATGTCTCAACAGAAATCGAGACTCATCAGACCAGGCAACATTTTTCCAGTCTTCAACTGTTCAATTTTGGTGAGCTCTTGCAAATTGTAGCCTCTTTTTCCTATTTGTAGTGGAGATGAGTGGTACCCGGTGGAGTCTTCTGCTGTTGTAGCCCATCCGCCTCAAGGTTGTGCGTGTTGTGGCTTCACAAATGCTTTGCTGCATACCTCGGTTGTAACGAGTGGTTATTTCAGTCACTGTTGCCCTTCTATCAGCTCGAACCAGTCTGGCCATTCTCCTCTGACCTCTGGCATCAACAAGGCATTTCCGCCCACAGAACTGCCGCTCACTGGATGTTTTTTCTTTTTCGGACCATTCTCTGTAAACCCTAGAGATGGTTGTGCGTGAAAATCCCAGTAGATTAGCAGTTTCTGAAATACTCAGACCAGCCCTTCTGGCACCAACAATCATGCCATGTTCAAAGTCACTCAAATCAACTTTCTTCCCCATACTGATGCTCGGTTTGAACTGCAGGAGATTGTCTTGACCATGTCTACATGCCTAAATGCACTGAGTTGCCGCCATGTGATTGGCTGCTTAGAAATTAAGTGTTAACGAGCAGTTGGACAGGTGTACCTAATAAAGTGGCCGGTGAGTGTATTTCTGCCTTCAGCCATTTGTATACTGTCAGCCAAGGCAGCACTTTAAGTGTCTTATGTCAACACGCCCCATGGAAGAGAGGGGTGGGGTGAGCAGTTGCTCATTATCATTTAAAGAGACTTGCACAGAAACGGGTCGCTGTGAACAGAGCTGTTTTTGAGAAGGTAAAAGGGTGTTGTTTTACACAACCATTGAGGGATTTTAACCAAAGTATGTTTCAAACTTTACATGAAGACCCTAAAGAATCATACCAACTTGTGGAAAATGGGCATCCGATGACCCCTTTAAAGACATGAAATTTCATTCACAACCTTTTTTACTTTTATATAGATGATGTGATAGATATTAGGCACATCTTTTTGTTATTTGTTTGATTTAATTGATTGGATTGTGAAAAATGGCCATTCCTTTTTTATATTTATTTTCCAGTGATGCAAATCTGAATTTTCAGCATCATTACTCCAGTATTCAGTGTCACATGATCCTTCAGAAATCATTATAATATGCTGATTTGCTGCTCAAGAAACATTTCTTATTATTATCAATGTTGAAAACGGTTGTGCTGTTTAATATTTCTGTGGAAACCGTGATAAAAATTGTCAGAAATTTTTGATGAATAGAAAATTCAAAAGATTAGCGTTTATTTTTGCATACAAATCTTTTGTAACATTAAAAATGTCTTTACTGTCACTTTTGGTCAACTTAATCCATCTTTGCTGAATAAAAGTATTAATTCTTTGAAAAAAACTAAAAAAAACTCTTACTTCTGAATGTCCCAAAGATATGTTGTCAATTTTCTAAACTTTTGAAAAGCCAGCCAGTATAATCACAATGAAAGAATCCAAACTACAATATTTAACGACTGCACAGCGTCCAATGTGTATACAATATAATTTTCGCACCAAATCCAGCATAAAATCTGGCACAAATTGCATATTATTAAACGCTCTAGACAGACGTCACTAGTACATGAACCTCACAGCGATTTGCTGCCGACCGCATTTTTCGCTTGATATTTGCATACATTTTAGAACTGCCCAACCTTTTGACACTCTCCGGTCCGCTGTCAATCCCACAATGCTCTGTGCAAACGTGAAGCTCAACTTCCATAGGAGTGGATTGAAAATGCTTGCTCTGTGCTAGTGTGCAATCACCTAGTCAAGCAAATTTTAATTATTTATTTAGTTGCAGAAGAATAAAACTTCCTCAGGAAGTGGCGAAGTCACGCAATCTTTAAAGGGTTGGTTTAAAAACACCACACCACGATACATATGAACACCTGCTAACAGCTCCATGCTCACACGGCCTTCTCCCCTTTCCGTCGTGTGTGGCCGATGTGTGAGGGGAAGTTCTGACGCATAATCCTCCCCTATTCATGTCTTTCCCCCCGACTGACTGATAATGGCATTGAGTGTTCATGTGAGATCAAACGCACACACATGCACAATGAGGGAGGGTAACACACTCATACACTCACATACTCGCACCCCGTTTGCCGTAAGGATTAGATTAACCTCAATCTCGTCCCAGGCAATCACTAGTTCAGTTTTAAACATGTTTCTTGTTCTAGTTGAAACCTTGGTGAATGTCCATCACTTTAGACTTTAAGGATGCAACAAAAATTCAGACCCTGCAAGGAACTTGAGCAAAAGGATATGATGTCACAGTCAAGGGCTTCTGTTTTCTTTTCAATCTATAATACATTGCATGATACATAATAAATTATAACAAATGTAAATGTTCTTATTTACCATCTACTGTCCTGCTTCACTTCTTAAAGTTTGTTTTCTTTTAAATGTGTTTTGATGCAAAATGAGGGCATTTTTCTAATTCACTAATGGTTTCACCAAATGTGAACTTTAGTGCACAGTGAAAGACAAAGATTTTCACATATACTTTTGTAAAATACAGTCTGCTGTATCTGGATGGCTACAAGTAAACACAACACAAAGTGCAGTATGACCACCACTTTATCTTTGAATGTTATTAGATATTTAAAGGACGTAGAATATGGAAATAGCTTGAACAAAAAATATTCAGATATAATTATTAGTGCTGTCAAACGATTAAAATATTTAATTGCGATTAATCGCATTAATGACATAGTTAACTCGTGATTAATCGCACATTTTTATCTATTCTAAATGTCTCTTGATTTCTTTTTATCCCATTATTTTTTCTCATTTTAATGCTCTTATCAACATGGAAAAGTGGATCGGGTTGCTTTGTGCAAATGTTTTTTTATGGAAAACAACATTGGCATATACTGTGTTCAATTTCACACTAACATTCTCACTTGGAGCAAATAATCTCTCACACAATGTAACACTGTCCATCGATAAAAGGGTGAAAGAAATACTGACGAGGTCCTGATATTGACGAGGGGGCGGAGAATTCGCATCAGCTGTGTGTGTGCTTGGCCATCATCAAGTGGTATTTCAGACTGGACGTGCTGCGATGATGATAGCTCAGTTCACAACGACAAAACACACAGATCACTTTGGTCTTGTCAATGGAACCATTTGGCAACTTTTTAAAAGTAAACTTTCCATTCAGAATCTTATTGGCATCCATTTCGGCTAGGGATGCACGATGATATCAGGACAACATCGGTATCGGCCGATAAAAGCTTAAAATGACCATTATTGGCATTGGCAGATATGAATATGACTGCCGATGAGCCTTGCCGATAGGGTGGCCTGTTTCCTATGCGCACGTGACGACCGTGAACGAAGCATGAGCGCCAGCAACTTAAACTTCCAACTAGGGGTGTGCGTCTCACGCGGTTTTTGATCGTGGACGATTAAAATGTCTCCACGATCTGCTTTTGAAGAAAAATCATAGTATCATGCATTCTATCAGTTCAATTCTGGCGCCTTCATCTCAACATACTGTACAACGCGACGTACATTCACATCACATGTAAACGCAGAGGTAGAGTTACACTCACGGGACACTGCAATTCACAAAAGTTCATTATTTGCATGAGCGTCAAAGTCTTGCTAGTTAAACATGTCATTCACGTGCTGATGCGCTGTTCTAACATGCGCTTTTCTGAGTGCGTACACCCGGCGCTCACAGGAACTAAAAGCCTGTCACAGCGCCTGCATACTGGACTAATCTTTCGAGTCTTATTGCGCTGATACTGTCAAATAGACACAAGGTTTACATAAACAAAGTTGGTTATGTCTAAAGTGAAAGCAAACAGAGAAAATCTGCTTGTCAAATGCGTGTATATTAGACGCGTCGCGTGCAGTTCTTAAAGAGACAGTAATAATATGCTGCCGCTTGTCCTTAAAGAGATACTGCACCCAG